AGAGAGAGAGAGAGAGAGAGAGAGAGAGAGAGAGAGAGAGAGAGAGAGAAAGAAACATACTAAGTATAGCGGAAATTAAACGAATGTTTCACTTTCCATAGATTCTCTTCTGCACGCTAAATACACACAAAGTGGAAATGACAGAGCTGCTGGGTGGACAAATCGGCGTGGGTGATTTTATATTTGCGCACAAAAAAGGTAATCTACATCTTAGATATCGCACAAATTATATCTCAGTAAACAGACCGTTCAATTTACACGAAGAGATGACTCAGACTTTCTGTCAAACCAAGAGAAATCAAGATGACTAATTTTTCATTGATATATTCAAAATAAAAATCTAATAAAAAACTTTTGTTGAAAGTATATTTTTGTATGGAAATGAAAAGAAATGGGATATATAATAATAATAATTCTCATAAAATGACGCACAGGTCGACCGAAAGAGATCGAATTGGTGAAGACGGACGATGCATTGGGCCTGACAATCACCGACAACGGCGCTGGTTACGCTTTTATAAAGCGTATAAAAGAAGGCTCCGTGATCGACAGGATAAAGGTGATTGAGGTAGGCGACCATATCGAAAGGATCAACTCGACCAGTCTTATCGGCAGACGACATTTCGAGGTAGCGAAAATGCTCAAGGAGATACCGAAAGGTTCGACGTTCACGTTGAGATTGGTGGAACCTCAGAAAAATGGCTTCGGCAGCATTGGGCCACGCAGTGATCTCAGGAAAGGAAAGAAATCTGGTTATGGGTCCGGCAAGGAGACCCTGAGATTCAAGGCTGACGGCAGCGCGCAAATCATAGCAAAGGTGCGTGTTATAAAAAGAAAAGGAACCTGAAACTGTTATAAAAAGAAAAGGAACCTGAAACTGTTTAAAAAAATTATAAACGGTTAACTTTAAATCAAAGGATATTAATTCCTGAATAAATAGATAAATAAATAAATAATTGAACTTACAAAGTGCTTAATATAATCAAGAACGACAAAATTGTCGAAGACGAGTTTTTTATTGCTTATACAATTTTTATTTCTATTTTCATTGTTCAGGTCGACGATGCTACCGCGATAGGCGTCGAGAAGATCAACACCATCTTGGAGAGCTTTATGGGGATCTACGATACGGAACTAGGTATGTTTAATTTCGACATTGAAAACTTATTGAAATACCAATCGGTTGTTACTTCTGATTTATGCGCAGCCACGCAAATCTGGGAGCTCGCCGAAGGCAAGTGCAACAGTATAGACTTCGCCGAGGCGATCGACAATTCCGACTTGGAGGCTTTCGGCTTCACTGACGACTTCGTCATCGAGTTATGGGGTGCTGTGACAGATGCCCGAGCTGGCCGACACCGATGACGCGAGGATCGATGACGATCAGTACCCCGATATGTTGAAAAGGGAGAAAGAAAGAAGGAGGTTGCTTGGAAAGAAACGCAACTTGAATGTTTTGCGAGACATTCTAAACTCGGTGAAATAATCGGTGAATTCATCGGTTTCCCGATGAACAGTGCTTTTTCAAGTGGAAGAAGATACACTGATGTACCAGTCGCTCACTCGCATGTTACCATGATTTTAGATGTCTAATTCTCGGAGCACGTTTCTCTTTGCTCCTTGAGACATTCAAGATTGCAAATGTATCGCGGGAATCGAGAGTTTAGCATTGAACGCGCGGCAGAAATGTAGGCTGATATTCGCAATACTCCACGTCGCTTTAGAATTATCGTATAGTGCATTGTGTCATACGGCAAGCGCAAACTCGAATTGCCAAGAAGAAGAAATAACGAAGAGCTTTTGGGGAGAATGTGCGCTAAGAGAAAAAATTTTAGACCTTGTATAACGCGACGAAGCTTCGGTAAAAGCATGTTTGGTTTTATACATATAAATAAATAGAAAAATTATATATCATTTCATTATTAAAATTTATCAATATATTATTAAAGAATAAACGAAATATTATTAAAATTGTTTAAATAAAGTATTAATGAGTTTTATTAAGTTACCGAAATTTATTTCAATAATATATAAAGTATTTTCTTAGGCATACTTTCTCTCTTTTTTCGTTGAATTTTCTTCATAGTCAATATGTTTTAGTTGTATCGTTTAATTGCATATAACTGTTAAATAATATATAGTCCCGTTTAATTTTTAAACCATTATTTCCTGGAATGTTTTTCTCTCCGTTTTTTTCCTGGTGTAGGCATTAAAGACTTTGCAATTCTCGATGCATACCTAATTAGCTGATAAGAGGGACGATGACGAATGTGTTTATCGGGTTCCACGCGTCGTTTTGCATGTTACATAATTACACAGTGCAGTAATAAGGATGTTACTATGCTTGAGGTCGATTTCGGTTTCCTCGAGGTCGCGAAACAACTCTAAACCGATATCGATCTACGGCCACGCGGAAAACAATTTAATCTTAGTATTAATATTAATTACTCGAAAGGCTGCATAAACATGTTGATTGAATCGTCACATTGGTATCAATATCATCGATGTTATTCTGTCGTGAGCAGATTAATATTCATTAACAACGGGTATTCGAGAGACATCTGTTAGACGAGTGAGAGGAACGCATTAATATATTTCGATATATGTAAGCTCTCAAAAAATTCATGATATATAAGATTAAGTTGTCTAGTGTTATTTAGCGTTGATAAATAAAAAAAATCTTTGTAATAAACACACGTTTCCCATGTACACGCGGTTATCCGCAACGATATACCCGCAATATCTCCGTGATATTGATATTTATGGACTATTATACGCAATTTTCAAGAGGGCTGATAGTTTACGTTCGTTATCAGACGAAGATAACGGTGGAATTAGTCTCACATTATAGCGTATATTGTATCTACTATATAACGCACAAATTACACAATTTTAGTGCTTGTGTGTTGTTCGGTCTTGGAAAATTTATATTGTAAATTAACGTCTTATCCTTTCTTACAAATATCCTCATTAAATTAATCAGCCGGTTGTGTTATCTTTAGCTCGTTTATCATATCTGTATGCGGAATTATCAAAACGTCGCGTGAGGATTTGATATCAAGAAATGCAAATCAGGAGGAAAACATGTTCTTATGAAACGTTCTCGCTTGTTATTCTGCCAGATCATTCATTAATGTTTTACCTATGCTAACGTTTAATTATGCGAACTTGCTAGAGCTGACTATTTTCACTATTGCAGGACAAACACGGTAGAAGAGAAACGTTTTTCTGATAAAATGCCGTATCTTATCAATGCAGACAGAACCGTTTTATAAGATTTCAGTGCTTTGTAGGTATCCTATTTAATCTCATATACTCTATTAGTATTTTCTATTAAAGTCTACACTGAGAAAAATACTTAAAAAATAAAAAATATTTATTCGACGGGTATTAACAACATATATATGTATTAATGTACATATTTTTACATTAAAAAAAATTTTCTTTCAGACGAAGAAATATAGATTTTCCTAAAACATAGTTGTTTTTCATGAGAGCAATTGTTTATTCTATTAAAATAAAAGAATTTAGATTTAAATAAATATGTCATTAATATTCACAAGCGAATAAATATTTTTTATTTTTCAGATATTTTTCTCAGTGTACTAGTACAGATTTTAAAATAATCGACTGTGGTTGGTCAATTTCTTACGACTTAAAAATTAAAGCAAGGTTGTGGACAAGGAGTTAATCGTTACCTAAAATCCTATGTCTTGAGCAAGGGTGAGTAATATGCGCGGCAGGAAGATATTATGCACAATTCTACACATAATATGCATAAAATGTATTATGTGCAGAAAACGCGCAGAATACGCAGAAAACGCGCAGAATATGTAGAAAATGCAGAAAACCCCCACTTTAACCTAAAATAATATTTCTTCCTTCAATATATAGTTCTAGGCAGCTTGCACTTTGCCTTAATACTACTCCATGATTTGAAAAGAGATATTACACACCATCGAAACGGTACAATTTCGCCAAAAAATAAGTAGTTCGAAAAAAATCCTAAGAAGATGTACGTACCCCCAAACGGTCGAACCAAGCCTTCTAAAATAACCTACCCAGTCAGAAATGAAAAATCGAATCGACGTCGATCCGACTTTTCATTTCTGTTTAGGGGTATGGTCCAGCGGGCGCTGCAAATGCTTTGTAGCGTTTTTACTTCTTTCTCTTTTTTCATTCGATCCGAGGAATAGAACAAGAGGCAGAAACGTTGCGCAGCATTTGTAGTGGTTGTTGGACTGCACCTTAGGTATGTACAATCCTACTCGCTACTCTTGAATCAGTTTCATTAATACATCTGTATATAGATATAAAGAAATTAAAAAATGGAATACAGCAATAAACTAGATTCACAATTTTATGTTTTTCATGATCATGGGCAAATATTTATGCTTTGTCTTATATACAAAACAGTTATAAAGCCAACCAAGCAGAATATTTTATTCTGATTGGTTGTCGTAATATTTACAACTATTTACGACCACGCTTACGCAAATGTAGAATAGTTCTAAAAGAAATTTTATGCAGCAGAAAACCTCATTTAGTTATCTACGCAAATTACTCGAGTTTTCTGCACATAAAACTTCTCGAGTTTTCTGCACATAAAACGTGAAGTATTATGTGTACCCCTCATCTTGAGTTAACACGTTACTGTTCGCGCGGAAGGACACGAGTTCGCTCGAATCAAAACGTCGACGCGCAAAGCGATCCGCCCAGTTAGTGTCCACGCTTCGAAGCGCGAGTGTTTGTGTCGGGAAGGAGTTTATAATTTGCAGTATTTCCGATATACAAACATTAATTATACTGCGTCAATGTCTACATTTGAAACCAGATAAAAACTTCAGTTAGAAGATAAGAGTATAATCGAAGTACGGAAAACTAAAGCAAATAGAGCGGCCTATACTTAACCTCTAACACCGTGGAATTTGCATAGAATTCATAAATATATGCTTATTGCCGAATAAACATGGCGTTTGTGTTAAAAAGTGCCAGTGGGATATTTTTGCGTTTGAACGGCGGCTCGCGAATAATTCAGAGCCATGTAAATATATCACGGGTAAATATGAGTATTACGACGCTATTATCAGATGCCACTTAAAGTCACTTAACCCTACGTCATTGCTGCAAAGTTATTTTGATTGTCTCGCACTATAGGATATCATAGCGAAGAATGATTTTATTTTGCATGTATCCTCTATAGTCTGTCTTATTTACAAAATCATGTGCAATTATGTTTGCGATTTTGTAATATATTGCAAGACATTATTCAGATATAATTCATTAGTTAATTTCTTTTTATTTCTTTATATATACTTTATATATACTTTATATATCTCAGTCAGTTTTATATTTATGATTTTTCACTCTTCTATGGCCTTTATTCTGAATTCTTTTTATCGATAAAAGTGTCTCTAAATCAGAAATCTTATAAGCGACATTTAGAAACATTTTTATCGCTAAAAAGGAATTCTATGTGAATAATGGTTTATTTCTTTCTTAATATATTTTATTCTCTTAACATTACTTTATATCTCAATTTTGCAAGTATTAATTTGATACATTCTATTTTTAAATAATAACATATGTTAGTTATATGTTAGTGTTATGAAATACTTTTATGAGTAAGATTCAAATAAATTGTTTGATAGATATGCAGTGTTAAGTTCTCTATCAAAGCAAATATTCCACAAGCGGAAGAGGAAAGTGAAAAAGACAGTAGAAAAGCACCAGTGGGAGATGGCAAAGTATTCAAAAATATAGAAGAAGTTGTTTCTGACATACCTAATGGAGCCAAACTGTTGGTTGGTGGATTTGGTCTCTGTGGCATCCCAGAGAATTTGATAGCAGGTATACTAAATAAGGGCTCCACAAATTTAACAGTGGTCTCAAACAATGCTGGAGTAGAGGACTTTGGACTAGGCATACTGTTGAAGGCACATCGAATCAAAAGGATGATTGCATCCTATGTTGGTGAAAATCCAGAATTCGAAAGGCAATATCTCAGCGGACAAGTAGAGGTTGAATTAACGCCACAGGTAAAGTTCTGCACGGGAATGTAAAAAAAAGATATCAAGTTACGGATAATTTGTCTCATTAACTTCAATGCATTTATATTTTATAGGGCACTTTAGCGGAGCGCATTAGAGCAGGAGGCTCCGGTATTCCAGCGTTCTACACCCCCACAGCTTACGGCACTATCGTGCAAGAAGGCAACGTGATCGTCAAGTACGACAAGGACGGTAATGCGGAAATATCGGGCGAACCGAGAAGCGTGAGCCAATTCAATGGACGGAACTACGTGCTGGAAAATGCCATCACCGGCGACTTCGCACTCGTGAAAGCGTGGAAGGCCGACAAAGCAGGCAATCTAATCTTCCGAAAATCCGCCAGGAACTTCAATCCGGTGATGTGCAAGGCGGCTAAGGTGTCAATCGTCGAGGTAGAGGAGATCGTGGAAATCGGCCAGTTAGATCCTGATCAGATTCACTTGCCTGGCATTTTTGTAGACAGGATTGTAAAAGGCTCTTTCGAGAAGCGTATCGAGGTGCGTGTTTATATTTAGCTTTATCGGCATTGCTACATCGTTAGGCATATCTAGTTATGCAGATTTTTTCTATTTGAATTTTATTTTTCTATCTTTGTAGAGACTTTCAACCAAACAAAGCGTGAGGCCAAAGAAGGTGACTCCTGCTAGCAAAGCGAGGGATAGAATCATTAGGCGCGCTGCACTCGAATTTAAGGATGGAATGTACGGTACGGAATAAGGTTAAGGATTAGAATATCTGGATTAGAAATGGATTAATCTTGAAAATATAGTAGAACTTTCTTGCAAGAATAATGCTTGACAAGGTGGAAATTTTTACAGCAAACTTGGGAATTGGCATACCCGTGCTTGCTAGTAACTACATCCCGAAGGGTGTGAAAGTCACATTGCAGTCGGAGAATGGTATTCTCGGGTTAGGCCCGTTCCCGGACGAAAGCGAAGTCGACGCCGACCTTATCAACGCTGGCAAAGAAACCGTCACTGTTGTACCCGGTGCTTCTTTCTTCGGTAGTGAGGACAGCTTCGGCATGATTAGGGGGTGATTATTTATTTCAACTCGACTGTGACGTCAAAAAAAAAAGGCTATATATGATTGTACTTCAGAGGACACGTCGACCTGACTATCCTCGGTGGCATGCAAGTGTCGGAGGTCGGAGATTTAGCCAACTGGATGATACCCGGCACGATGGTTAAAGGAATGGGTGGTGCTATGGACCTCGTTTCTGCGCCAGGTACGAAGGTGATTGTGACTATGGAGCACAAAGCCCGAGACGGAAGTCCGAAGATCCTGAAAAACTGCACCTTGCCTATCACAGGTAATCGCTTAACGTACATCATAATGTTTCGTTTTGTATCTACATCATTATCTTTCAATACTTTGTTATTTGATAATATTGTACTTTGTAATATTTCTATGTTGCTTACGCCTCTATAATTTTTGTCTATATCTTTCCCCAGGTCAACAATGTGTAGACTTGATTATCACAGATCTGGGGGTATTCGAAGTAGTGAAAGGAGAAGGTCTCAAGCTTATCGAGATCGCCGCCAATGTCGACATCAGCGAGGTCGTTAGTTCGACGGGTTGCGAATTTGCTGTCGCCGATGATCTGAAGGAGATGGGACAAGTGGAGGCCGATGATTCGTAAATTGTAATATATTACACAAATTAAGCAATACGCACGAGATGAAGTAATTTAACACCTCGCTGATTGCCTGAAAGTAAATTGTAATATCTCTTATAAAATATTTTTTATTAATTTTTTTGATTAAAATATCTTTTATACATGGTTCTTAACCATGATTCCATAAGGAATGTTGTTGAAACTATTTAAGTAAATATGTAATATAAATGAGAAAGGTTTACTAATTACGTTAATTGCCAGCAATTTTAATTTGCATAATATTGTCAATAGACATTCATACTTTGTGCAATATATTGTAACATAAAAATTAAACTAAACCGCCGTACACGAGAGAAGTTGGTCTATATAATAGGCATGCGTTATTTTAATAGCGTTGTGCACGATGCATATAAATGTGTTTTCTAAGTGTACAAATGTTTTTACACATGGTTGCTAAAACGTTCAGATTTTATGGCGTGTGTCACGATTGCGAAAAAGTGAAATCATGTTATACACGCGATGATTATAAACGCTACAGTGATGAATGAAACGATTTTGTAATATATGCTATAAAATAAAACTTTTTAATATTTTCAGCCTGCGTTTTCTTCTTAATCTATATTAACTTCGCAATATATATATATATATATATCTACAATAAAATTTATATACATTAAAATTTGAAATCAGGTAAGAAATGCAACGCGATAGTCGTATTTTTTAGAGCTTAACGATGAACATGCACTTCACGAGTCATTATTCCCTGAACTTAGCCTTCACTCTGGCGGGTAACGGTAACAAATACAACACGCTATTCAATATGATGAGACCGACGGCGAATGCCAGAGAAATCAATAAATTCAAGTCCACGTTCAACACTTCGGAGATGTTTTCACCCTCTCTGGTGAAACGCTCGATCAGGTAGGTCTTGCCGTCAGGATATCTGCAGAGTTCAGGAATGCCCGGGCAGCTGAAGCTTTCATTGTAAGGTAGATTCGACATGGTGGGCATGTCGATAACCAACTGGTTTAGCGCCAACGAGGCGTATCTGGTGGGCAACGCGGTTGATACCATCGCTAACCAGTAGGGCAGGTTCTTGAGACTGCGAACGGCACCTGACGCGATTACTAGAGATAGCAAGGTCATATACAAAACCGTGATCGCCCCCGTTATAGGTCGTCCGACCACCATAAGAACAGCCACGGTTACTTGTTCGGCTGCCACGTAACTGGACCACAAAATACCGCAGGCATAAGCCCACGAGGAGATGTCCAGTTCTAGGATGGGAATCAAGATGCCAATTGTTATCAGAGTCGATATGAAACTCATGGGTAGACTCAGCAGGGTGTACGCTGTCAAGAACATGGCGCCACCATAGAGACCTTCCCGCTTCTCTTGATAGTATCTCGCACGAAAACCTGGAACTGTGTTTTGATTAACGACACGATGAAAAGATAAAATATTGTTCTGTAAAAGAGATTATAGAAGAACGAGTTGTTGTCGATTTTCCTTTTAGTTGACATATTTTTGTGATACTTACACAAGAGCGAGGTTGCGGCTATTCCAGCTACGTAAAATAACGTCAAGACGTTGAAGATTAAACCACCGGTCTGTAAAAATATTCTCGACTGTACGGGACTTGAGTGCGAGTACAGTATGCTCATTAGGGCCACTAGAAACGGTAACAGCAGCAGGCGAGCAGCAAAGTGTCCTAGGCCGGTTTTATTAAAGGAGAACGTAGCGGCCATACCTCTCCTAAATGTAACAATGTGGCTGTGATTAATCTCTATAAAGTATATCGAAACGCAGCGACCTTAATTCCCTCGATAAACTCTTTGACAGATTTAAAGAGTGTATTTCTTTAGAATATTTCATTTAAAGATTATCGCGAAGATATAAGTTGCAATTAATAATTTCCTTTGTAATTTTTCCAAGAGAAAGAATGAAAAAGGGAAAGAATATTTCCTAAGAAAAGAATGTTAAACTCGTTGAGGAGTTTTTTTATCGAAATTAGTCGTTCAACCGAGGAGGAAACTCACAAGTATAGCGCTAAAAGGGTCGAGAAGCAACCAGGCTTGATTCCGCGACCTAATCCTTTGTGCATGATGCCAAGGGCCGTATCTTTAACGCTATGTGGCACTTGCGGGGCTTCTTTCATGTAGAGCATACCATCCACCTTGAACTTTTCAACTAAGACGGATATCTGCTGATTAGACTCCAGAAAGCGATCTCTGGAGCGACGATCGACCGTCGACAGGCATACTAAAAAAATCATATAATTCCAATATAACGCTCAAACATACTGTTATCACGATTAAGTCACGAATAGTTCTAACAACACTCACGATAATACATCAACGGGTTCTCCAGTTCCGGGCATGGGAAGCCAATGTAAGTAAAGTAATCTAACATACTCCTGGTGGGTCCGGAGTAGACTACTGCTCCCAAGCACAGCAGCGTCACGCGACTAACGAAGGGCAACACGTCGGACCTGGGTGTCTCCATGGTGAGCACAACGATGGAGCCGCGTCTAGTGGCGTAGGACCACAACATCGAAACGATGAGGTATGTGTTGAGTGGATCGGTGTCCCAGGTCGGCTCATCCAACAGTAGCAGAGTCGGATCTTTCGCCAGCTGCACGCCCAACATCAACCGCCGGTATTCCGGCCTGGTGAGATCGTTCACCGATCTGTTGGCCACCTGCGACAGCGCCAGATCAGCCAGGGTCTGCCGTACTCTGGCCTCGCGGTTGTTCAGATTGGCGAGCCACGTGGCGTACGTCAGGGTCTGGCGGACCGTGAGGCTCGGCAACAGATGACATCTATGTGCTACGTAGCCGCCGTGACGTCGGAACAGTTCCGGCGTCAGTAAGTTGCCATTCAGAGTGACCCTCCCTCTCGTTTCACCCTCTGCTCTTCCGGCTGAAGCAATTACGAGACTTGTTTTAATTGAGGACAGATATTATGATAGTTTGGAGATGATTGAAGTAGTTTATAGTTGATAAAGTTATGCTAGCTTCTTTGTACTTCCACGATATTTCTTCCTCTCTTCGTTAAACTTGGCGAGTAAAATTTTTTTTAAACTTGAAAATTATTCGAACATAGTGTATATAAAAATGTACTAAGTATGATAAGATCCAATAAAAACAACCAACAGTAACATTATATTAACGTTGTAATTTTTTTACTCAATAATGTAACTGTTATGTACAAAAATATGTGTTGTATTACATTAATATATCGCTGAGAAATTATAATATTGACGTAATGTTACTGTTGTTGGTGTTTGCTGGAAAAGAATGGACGGCCGCAATGATTATTTTGATTGAGTCGCGATTCCTTTCTGCGCGCTACATTTTTCGCGCGCTCATATGCCATCGCAGACAAACGGGAATCGGTTATTATGGTAAACGCGAAGAGGCGATGATGCTAAAAGGTTGGAATTATATTTACCGATAACATCGAGGAGTGCTCGCTTGCCGGAGCCCTTTGATCCCAGAATAGCTAAAACTTCCCCGCCGTGAACGCGGGCTGATACATCTCTGAGCACCGCCGTGGGCTCGGATTTGTTCAGGCAACTTCCTTCGATTACCACTGCGGTGGAATGAAACACGTTCGATATGTCCAGAATGCAATCGGATGGAATCATCTTGAGGTACAATATTACATCCGGTTCCCACGATCACATTCCCCGGGGCGCGGTATCTGCGAAGTTACGAAGTAACAGTAGAAGTTTACAAAATCATTTCTTTGAGTATCGTGGATATTGTGCTCCTTATAAAACCGCTATCATTCGGACCTTCATCCATTCGAGATAACAATGACGCGAATTAATTTCAAAACAAAGTAAACAATAATTTTGACGTTAGATACAATTTCTAATTTAATCACTGCATTTTTAAATTATATTTTAATTGAACTGTGTGCATAAAAATGACGTGTGACAATATGCAAATTATTTGATAAAATCCTTGAATATTACAAAGTTTATTGTTTTTATTTAAACCTAAATAATACTTGTATGTAAGAAAAGTAAATATCTTAAACTAAACAATACTTTGGTACTTTTACTGAAATTGAAACAATCCTTTTCGCCACAATTTATATAATTTGCACGTTAATTTACATTCACGTCTTACGTAGGATTTCCAGATTAATCAATTAATAAACGAAGAGAATATATGTTACTCACTATTCTTTTTCAATTTTACTACGTTTCTAGTAGTGCAGAAATAGATTGTTAGTAAGATCCGTTTTACTAAGGAACATGGTAAATTTTGTTAGAATCTCTGCAAATTTCGCTAGAAACATAGCAAACTTTTTAATAGCACGTTTCAATTTCCAAGATACAAGCAGCATACGTATGAATGTGAAGGATAGTGCAAAAATACTGCAGAATTCCTCCGTGTTACGAAACTCTTCAACAACTGCTATAAAATTCTCTCCGTGTAGAATCAATATTATTAAATAAATACATAATATTAAATAAATACGAACCTCACAGGATGTCACGAACGATCTCTACTTGACATAACATCTGCATACGCGTTGCGTGTCGAGGAGCAAGCCGAGTCGACGCTTAAATTCATCCATTCGAGGCGCACTTGACCGTGTCCTGGTGTTCGAGGACACCGGTGCGTCGGGGCGCCTTCACTTCCAATAAAGAGACGATACTCGCGCGTCGACTTTCCCCGTCGAGGTGTTCGCCAAAATGGTAGAGTCCTAGCGTTGATGATACGCCGACGAGTGAGCGCAGGAGGAGCGCTACCACCAGCGCCGACTACGACGCGAACTGACCGCGCGCGGACCGACGCCACGAGCGTAAAAGTGACTCGCAGCAGCAGCAGCAGCAACAGCGGCGGCGGTGGCGGCAGCGGGGTTGGGAGGAACATAGCCGCAGGTAACGATACCTGGCTGGGAGTTGGCTCTCCTCGAGGTGAATGTCTTCGACGCGGGTCCGATGGTAGGGAGATCGACCCCGGGAGAGAGCAGCGGCGTAAAGAGCTCATGCGGCTTTGCTGTCGATATCGTCGTCAGCGAGCTCGAAAATGATGAGCCTGCGAGAGAGGACCTTGATTATCAGAGCGTATTTTCCTTACGAGAAATTCCACTTCATTTTTACCTAATTTTCACTAAAATTTTGCGTTTGCGCTCCGCGGGAATCGCAAGAAACGCATCGATCGGAATCCTGCGTGTTTACGCCGCTGCGCGAACTTGACGGGCCCAGCGGAGGGGGTGCGAGTCGGGCCCGGAGGAGGGAAAACTCGTGGGGGCCTCGGCGGGTCCGTCCGTCGGCGGCGGCGGCCAGCGTTCGGGCAGGACTCCGGCGAGTCGCGTGATACCGATGGTCTTAACGCTTCGCGGTCGTGAATCGCCGAGCGCTGCGAGCGGCAAAAGATCCTTTGGATAGAAGGAACGCCGGCGACGTCGGCGTCATCGTCGCGACGTCCGTTTCAATCCTCTCGGCCAAGGTTTCTCCCGCGGGTGACGACTTCTGGCGCGGAAAGTGCTTTTTCCTTTGACCACGCGGAAAGTGCGTCTCTCTTTAACTTGCGTTCGCGTGCATCTTGGCCAGAGATCGACCAGAGGAGGACGACGACCGGAATGGAGAGGAGGCAGCGTCGTCGTCGTGACTCGACCAGCCTCCAAGGTTGAAGGCCCAGCGCGAATACACAGCCGGTGAGTCATTGTCACGAAGATCAGCCCCCTTCTCTCTCTCTCTCTCTCTCTCTCTCTCTCTCTCTCTCTCTGCCTCTCTCACTTTTTCTCCGTCTCTCTTTCCTCACCTTCGTCCTCATCGCGTCGAGCACCGTGTCGCGTTCAGCACGCTCGTGCTCGGTGATTTTTGAACATTAGATGAGAAGCGTTTGCAGGATTTTGTCTATTTTTTTATTCCCGCTGGACTGAGCAGGTCCCTGGAATCAAGCTAAACTTGGAATGGTTTCTACTCAAATGTTGTCGATAGTGGAGTCTGTGAGGAGCCATCCTTCCTTGTAAGATGTATTGGCATTGAATTGTATCTGGAAGTGCAAGTTACTCATAAGCTCTTAGATATCTTCGTAATTGCACATAAAGAATTATATTTAATGTAGCTTTATTAAAATCGCAACACTACGAAGAAGTGATGAATCAAAGGATGCTTTTTTCATGCTTTTGCGCATTGCGAAGTTGGAGGATGAAGAAAAGTGACGTAAATCCGGTATTGCGTCTGTTGTTTAGAACTTGGCATAATTCTCCTCTCGGACTTGGATCGAAATCGCGCTGTATCGCGCTCCAAAAGCAAATCCCGGAAAAAACGGAGTGACCGGTAGCACGTGGCGAGAATCTCGGGCACACTTCCGATTACGTAGCGCGCCAATTAGGCGTGGCTATTATGCAACCTGTGGGAAATGTCGCGGCGCTTTACAGAATGAAAAGGCAATTTTGAAATTCAGAATCGCGTAGCGGATCGATCACCTTCGAAAAAAGAAATACGTTGCGCTTGTTAATCACTTGTTGTTGCTTTCACCGTACCGCGCGGCGGCCTTTCTCGTTATGCAAAATCAGGTTTCCCGTCGTTGAACCGTGAATTAAAAGCTCGCATGCTGCGTGCGTCAAACCGCCCCGTGTACGTGTCGCTTTTTTTCTCTCCGAGGAAGGGAACGCGCGACCCACTGGCAAATAATCCTGAAAAATGCGATCCTGTGATGCATTCTTCCTTGGTTCTCCAAAGAAAGAGTCGTTATCTGGAAGATTGCTAACAAACTCGCTAATAAACTCATCACCCATCTATCTAATCTAATCATTTAAAAATCTATAGTGCAATCATTCTCATCAATAACATTGTCGTCCTCTTTTTCGTAGCAATTTTCTCTTCGAATTTTAATTTCGTATTTTCAAGCAGCAGTTTATTAGATAAAGAGTCCAGATCCAAAAAGCTATATCCGTTCAGCTTTCCACCGGATATTCCACTTCGTGACAAATGCAAGTTCAGAGTAAAACAATTCGTTGCGAAACGCGTTGCGTTACGTTTCGCTACGCTCTAAACTGCAGCGCGCGTAGTTTTCTATCGTACACGTGAAACCACCGCTTCTAACTCGCGTTACATGCGCGAGAATATAATGTCTTACTTTCTTGAGCGGGTGGATTATTTGTCGATTAAATCACGTGCGCTGAAAGCGGCCGGTCCGAGTGTAATGAGAATGCTCTTGCCCAAGTTCTCCTGCGGATCTCTTTGAAAGAAAAAAAAGTCATAATAATACGTTTTATTGTTCCGCTCAAGGACTAGATACTATTCGAGCGGGAGAAAGGGACAGACAGCCGCCGGATATCCTCTCGACTGTAGATCACATAGCAAACGTTGTAATCGACTTTTTCCCAGTGAAAACTCGCGGATGCTGTTTCCCTGGACTTCTCGATTCCCTTCTAACGTCGCGTACTTAGTCTGATACGATCAAAGCGACTCACACTAAGTATTATGAACCGCGGTAAGATCCAGACCGAGCTAACCGCAAACAAAAGCCTGAATCCTGGCTGCATGCCGATATCTTTATTCATACTTCTCTCGACGACGCGTGTTTCCCTCCGTAAATAAAAGCAAAAGCGTTCGCGCCGACCCGTTACTTCCTCCGTCGCATTCCGCGAGTTTCCACATTAGCAACGCAAAGGCCCGCGGCGAACGATCACGAGATCGGAAAGGTGAGAGTTCAACGTCAATCCATTCACTTCGATCGGATATCGCGGATCCGTCGGATGGACAGTAGAATCGCCATAATTCCGTCGTGATTTTGCCGCGAATTTTCATGCGACCAGATACGCGCAAGCGAGCGAGCGAGCGATCGACGAGCGTGCGTCTCCTCGTGTCGTCTCCGCGAAATCATGAAGTCACGTTGAGAGACTTGAACGAGCGCACAGGAGCGCTGCTCGTTGCACGGCGCTTCGAATGCTTTGCAATTTCAATTAGATTCCCCTCCCACTGCCGTCCTTCGTCACTTGCTTGCGAGAGAGGCATGACTACTACCTCGTTGGAATATTAAAAAATCTCACAGCACTGACCTCGCCAGATCCCGCGTTCTCCGGTGAAGTTTTACGGTCCGATAGTGCTCATCATCGCTTGTAACGAAGCAGTAAAAGTACCTAAATTGGTATTCGATCGTCATTCAATTTTTTGCGACTGAGAGATTGTATTTTCTGAGATTATTTATGGAATATTAAAACATGGAAGCAAATGTCTTCTACGTGCAGGGAAAAATATCGTTTTACTGTTAAGAGAAACGATTACGCAGTTGATTTTCTTTCAAGTAATGATTATCTCTAACAGAAAATATTTTCTTAGTAATATAATCTTAAAATATATTCATCACAAGTTTTAAAAAAGCTTTTATTATCACGTACTTAAAAGAACAATTTGTTTTCTTTATAAGAATATTATAAAAATTTATCGAGAGTTGATTCTATTCTGTACAGTAAGCAAGCCGAATTTTAATTTAATTCTTGATTATAATATTCTTGATTGAAATACTAAACCTACGAAAATTTAGAATGTGTTTAGATGTTATGAATGCGTAGAATGTTTTGATACCTATTATAAGTTTATAGGTAGTTTTCTGCTTGAATTCATCCCAGAAACACGCTCTCTTAGAATGTACAGTCACGGGACACCGTGTATAAATTTATGAAGCACTTGAAACAAATAGCATTTCCTTGAATTCAGTATATATTTTTCTGTGTGTGCAGTATATCTATTTAAATAAAAAAGAATTTGAAATAATTTATTTAAATATCAACACACGCACGCGCGTTTATTCTTTAATTAGTTTCATAATTGCATTCTGTTTACTTGGGATTCATCGCTTCCTAAAATTTCAATTTCGACTAACTAATCTCGTTATTCATCAACTAATTATTCTCCTTTAACTTTGCGTTTCTTGCTGCACCAAGAGACGTTGGAGGCAGACAAGCGATAGATATGACAGGTATGCTCCTCGTTTCGAAAATCGCGATCTCGAGATTAATGACGTTCCGTTAATTGCGGTAATTAACAATCCTGAGTCACCGCGTACACCTGAGACGCGGGCGATATGTGGGTCGACGGGACGATTTTCGGATAAACTTTCCACGATTTCCAACCGCATTGCGTGTGCGAGTAATTACGGCGCGGTACAATCCAGGCCATGGTGTACTTTATTTAGGTGCACGGACACGCGTGTACGCTTGACTGGCGTACACACGTGTAGAAATCAGTGCGTGGGACAATCTCACAGTAGATCCTGGAGATCTCGAAATCGAGAGATAGTTTCCGCTTGTCGACAAGAGAGAGAAAGAGAGAGACTCTCCTAAATAAATGTAGATATTCCGCGATTATGGCGATTCTCGTTTACATTAAATACCGTGACGCGAACCGCGATTGCGACGCTTTCATACGCCGACGAACGATAATTGATCCAATTAGACGCTGAAACTCGACGATGCGATTCATTTAATGCATCCGCTCCTTTCGAGGAAAACAAACATATAAAAGATGACATTTGCGAAAGTGTTCCAGTTGATACACTGGAAGATAAAGATATATAAGAAACAAAAGATATTTATTTCGTGAGTACTAATAACATATTTACTGATATAAAATATTTTCTCAAAAATACATTTTTTTTTTAATTTTCTTCAAGCTTTAGCTTTCCATGGAAGCAATTGTTTATTATATTTAAATAAAGGAATTTAGATTTAAGCAAGTATGTTATCAGTAATCATATTTTGAGTATTTCTTATTTTTTTTTAGATACATTCCTTCTCTCAATGTAGAGGCTGGGAGAAAGAAAGAAGCGCTTGCATTTGTTGTAAATGAGATCGGCAAACGCGATTGTTTTCAGCCGCTTGCCCCTCCAATTGCATTAAATACCGTGACCGTGAATTTAGCATTTCGCGATGCGAATTCACAATCGCCGTAATAGCGATCACGCGACCGCGATTTTTCCAGGTACCGCGCACATACGTCTGGCGAGATATTAGGCGTCACTTTCCGCCTATTTGCGACATGCTCAGCTGCGCGCGCCAGACGCACTGGGCCGTTTTTCCGAGCGTATCATCGTGTCTTTACGAATATCGCCGGTTAGTCCGCACTTTCCTTCTCGTGCTATTAAGCGAACGATTCAGTTGGCCGCCGCGGGCAAGAATCCGCGGCGGCGGAGCACGACAAGAACGCGCGCGGACGGAGCGGAGCCGAGCCGAGCGTTTAATGGCGAATTCATACCGCGAAATCGCACGGTCGTCGCTCAATACAACTGTTGCAGAAACGGGATATGCAAATGAACAGTTAACCGGGCCCCTCGCGAGGCGGTTATCGGCCGCGGTAAAAATCAGTGCGTTACGCAAATTGAAATGAGTATAGGTGCAACCGGCGGTACGATTCAGTCATCAGTACCATTTTAAGGCAGCTGGACGCGACTATCTGAATGTCGTATTGCGCCTGGGAAGTTCGCATCTAGAAAAAGTTGCGTATAGCGACCGTGGCTCTTCGAGAAAAGCGGATATCACGATACGTGCAAATCCATAAGACGCGCAATGTCTGATAGAAATGCCGAAGAGGAAATCGAGTGTTACGTTTCGCTCGAATCGATTTCAGTGAACCCACGCGCTTGATTCACCTCCGCATTGAGTTAGACAAGTAGTTTCAAGCAGTTAGACAAGAAGTTCGACGTTCT